ATCTCCAGTGTTAGTTGCCTGGGCCTGCCCTCCCTTACCTGCTGAGCAGAGTCTGCCAGGCGGTCCCGGACACGGTGCTGGAAAGCTGGGTCCCTCAGCAGGCCCAGAGGCATGCTCAGCTGCATGGCTGAGGCCTCAGTGTCCTCACTCAGCTGCTGCCACTCCTCATCACTCTCCAGCTCCTAGCCACAGAAGAGAGAGGACTGGTGACACAGACCTGCTAGTCCCAGGGTCTCTGTAGCAGCCCCTGGCAACTGGGCCCTGCTGTCCTCACTGAAGACACCATCTTACCTCAGCCTCCAGGTCCACAATGCTGTGCCTGCTGCAGGGCTCTGCCCTGCCAGCATCATGCTGTGGAGGGGAACCTGCTTCAAGAAACTCCCACTCATAGTCTTGAGAGAGGCTGTGCTGCCTGGCCAAGGAAACAGTACAGTCAGTGAAAGACCTTTCCTTTCCCTCTTCCTCCTGCCCCAGCCTCTGCCTCCCTCACCCTGGGGTGGGAGGAGACTCCTCAAACTCTGCTGTGCTGCTCTTTCCTTGCAGGAGATACGGATTCTTCTCATTGGAGGCAGCCAATGGCTCCCTCTCCTCAGGGGCTGCCTTCCCTGATGCTGGTCTAGGTCTAGGTGTGGGATGTCTATTGACAGAATCCTTCACAGATGGATCACCTGCCTTCAGTTGAGCCTGGTGATGGCAGAGAAGTTTGGTCAGGGCAGGGTTACTCAGTCAGATGAGTCCCCTAGACCCCACCACCATGAGCACCCCACATCCTGCCTTGTGTGTTGCTGACACCCCAGCCTGACCCAGGTACTCCTGTGTTTTCCCCCAGGGCCCCCTTTAGTGTCCTTCCTTTGCCTTGACTGTGAGACACAACCAGGGAACCTCAGACTTTTCTCCACCTTTTTCTGTGTCTCTTCAACCATCTTCTGCTGGACCTTTCTCAAGATCCTGGACGAGCTGCTCCTAGGGACCATGGAATGGACTTGCTGCTCCTTCAGGGCCTGCAGCTCTGGAGACAGTTTCATGGTGAAGGGGTTTGAAATCCCATGCTCTTCTGTGTCATCAATCACTGGGGAGGCAAGAGGAGAACTTCAACAGCAGCTCTCTTGTGGGACACAGAGTGATCTCTCTTGAGATCTCAGGGGAATCCCAAGGAACCCAGAGCAAGACCAGGAGCAGGAGCTAGGAGTCAGTGCTTGGAAAAAGCTGAGAGGAGAGAGGCATAGACCAGGATAGTAAAAATAGCAGGGCAGGGAGGTCCTCCCAGTCTCCAGACAGTAGTAGAAGGAAACAGATCTGGACAGCTTTGGAAAAGGAGTGAGTACTCACCAGTAACACGTCCAGCAATGAAGGGGTGAGAAAGCAGCTCTGGCCATGACAGGCGCTCCTGGGGGTCCTTCATCAGTAATCCCTGAAGGAAGTCCTGCAGAGCAGCAGGATCACTGACACATGTTCAGCACCCACCAGTGAGCACAGTGTGCCCACCAGTCTCCCTCAGTGAGGGCATCCAGGAGGCCTGCCTTTCCTGCCTAGCTCTGGGAAAGGAGTACTTCCAGTGCTTAGGGCAGATGGCAAGACATTTCCCTTCACAACCCAATAAATTACTCCTCTGCTGTCAGACCCAGTTTCCCAGCTTATGGACAGCAGACATTTGATAACAGTGATAAGGATTCCCTTTCCAGGAGGTCCAGCTCTCATTGCTTTTCTGTGTTCTGAAGTCCCTGCTAGGGGACATAAAAGCCAAGAGTGACCCACTAGGGCAGCAGGCGAGGCCAAAACTGCATTAACAGATCTCACCCTGCAGACAGGGCCCCAGCCCTTACCCTGAACACTGGGCTCATGGTCACAGGCCATTTGACAGGGTCCTTGATGATGAGGCTGACCAGCTGGAAGATGCTGTTGGTGTAGAAGGGAGGGGTGCCCACAAACAGCTCGTACAGGATGCAGCCCACAGACCACAGGTCTGCTGTGTGGTCATACGGCCGCTCTTCCACCAGCTCAGGGGACATGTACAGTGGGGTGCCCTTGATGGACGTCAGCACCATGGTGTGGATGCTCATGGCACGGGCAAACCTGCTCAGAGCAAAGCACAGATCTCAAGTCCAGGCTGAAACATCTGTTGCAGCTCCCAGGGAGTTCCCTATGAGTTTATCCTCCTCTGGAGAACAAAATCACCCCTCTCAGGTTAACCTCTAAATATGCACAGAATCCAGGCCCCCTTCCACACTCCCCCACTCCTCCTCTACAGCATCCAGGAAATCTCTTGGCTGCTCCAATGCCCAGCATTCCCCTCAGGCTGGCCCCCAGCACTCACCCAAAGTCACAGAGCTTGACAACACCATCTTTGCCCAGCAGGATGTTCTGGGGTTTCATGTCACGGTGCAGGATGCGGTGGGAGTGCAGGTAATAGAGAGCAGAGATGAGTTGGGCAGCTATGGCCTGGACCTGCCAGAGACACAGAAGCCTCACCCTGTGTCCCATGGTGCCACCCACTGGCACAACCACAGGGGCTAGGTCCCTTACAGCCTGGCTCCCACACTACTTCTACTTTTGTCCTGTTTGGGGCAGGAACCAACCCCAGCTGTGGGCCAGCAGTTCCTTGGAGTGGGCCAATAGCCAAGGCAGCCTAGTGGCCCTTGTAAAGGGAACAGAGAAGGTCTGTTCTCTGCAGGACCCCACTGTCCCACAATGCCAACCTGGCCCCCACTCCATCCTTTTCAGAAGCTCTGCCAGGTAAAGTCCCAGAGGCACCCTCACCCTCCTGACATCTCCAGGCTCACAGCTGAGACCCTCTGCCTGCAGGCACACAGGTCCTGTTTTCTCTAGCCTGCAGCAAACACCGCATGGCCACTGCAATGACAGAGATACCTGGCTCTCAGGCAAGGTCCCATCATCCTCCAGGATCTGGAAGAGCTCTCCCTCTGCATAGTCAGTCACTACCACCACCTGGAGGGAAGAGCAACATGGTGAGATCAGGCCCTGGGGACCAGGATAAAGCAGGGTAAGAAATTTGAGGATAGTGTTTGGGTGGCATTATGCAAAGTCCATCAGCTTGGGCTGGGACTTGGAATGGAAGAGAGCTCCCATGGCTGGACAGCAGCAAAGACCTGGCACTTGGCAGAGGTCTTGGAGCTGTCCATATCTCAGACAGCCAGCAAAAACAAGAGAAGAGGGAAGGACAGGACAAGCCCAGAATGGTACTGCCAAGCCCAGTGGGTAGAATCATCCCCTTGATCTTGTTTTGAATCTGCTGTTCAATGACTTTATTTCATGGTCCCATGTGCCAGAGAACAGTCTTCAATCCTCTCTTATCAGATTATATCCATGAGAGTTTAAATCAGTGAAAAGTCAGTCTCTGAAGAGACTGATGAGTGAACAGTGACCCTTATCCTGTGATCTCAAACCACTCCTCCTGCATCACAGCCCCTGGTCAGCTCCTTCACCTCTGCACATGACCTAGTGCAGCCCACACAGGTGGTGGTTCCCCACCTGGCACATACTAAAGGGCTCTGAAAAACACTAACTAGACCCTGGGATGAAGTCACCAGTATCTCCTGAGAAAGATGTCCCTACAATGGCAGGGGACAGCCCTTGTTCCCCTCCCCAGTCAAGCAAAAGCCATTGCCTGGAGTAATCCCCTTCACCTCATTAGCAGTCTCAAAGCTGTCAAGCATCTGGATGATGTTGGGGTGATGGAGGTCTCTCACAATCTCAATTTCCCGCTGCAGGTTCTTCAGCTCCTTCTCAGACCGCCCCACCTTGGGGATGAACTTCAAGGCCACCACCTTCCAAAGCAGGAAAAGCTGGGATCAGACCAGACTCCTGGTCAGACCCACCCTGGCAAAGGCAGCTTTTAACCCAAACAGGGTTCCAGCTGAACAAATACAGTAGAACAATGAGACATTTGTTCACTTGGACCTAGGGCTCTCCCCAGGCCCTTGCACATCAATACTGCTGCTCACACTTCTTTTCACACTGGCATTTAAAGCAAAGAAATGCAATCAGTGAACACAGATAAAACCAGGACTTCACTTCAGAAATATGGGGCAGGACCTCGAGATGCTGGTGAACAGCAGGCAGAACATGAGCCAGCAGTGTGCCCTGGACATGAGGAACACTGGCAGCACCTCGGGCTGTATCAACAGGCAGGAACTGCAGCAAAGTGATTACTGACCTTTATTTCTAATCTTGTGCACCATGTTGGGAATATTGTGGCCAGGTTTTTGGCCCAGAAGGACATCAATAGGCTGGAATGGGTATAGAAGAGAGACTCATGGCGATGAGGGGACTGAAGCATGTGGGAGGACGACACGGGAATTACAAATTGAAATGGAGAGAGGTTCAACTTGCTAAGAGGAAAACGCATTCATTCTAGTAATAGTCAGGCACCAGCTATGGGCGCTTGTCTTGGGGGTTTCAGAGGATCTAAATTTAGTGCTGGCTCTGCTTTGAGTTCTTGAGGTCGCTCCTGATGTCCCTTGAATCCAGATGACTTAGTGCCAGCTGGAGCTGGTCAGGACCGTCAGCAGAAAGCCGAATGGATGCCGGGTCCCAAAATCCTGGCAGAGTTACAATTCAAGAGGCAGCAGAAATCAGCCCCGGCCCCGCACAGCAGAGCCCCAGCCCTGTCCCCTCACCTGGGCGCTGTGCCTCCGGCGCCCCTTGTACACGTGCCCGAAGGACCCTTCTCCGATCCTCTCCAGGACGTGGTAGTTCTCCATCGCCCGGGACGGGGCCGCCGAGCGGCCGAGGCACGGAGGCCGGGGAGGAGCAGCGAGTCCCCTTCCGCGGGCACCTCTCCTCCCGCGGGGCGGCATCCGGCCCCGTTCCCCTGGGGGAGTGTCGCCCCCGCCGCCCCAGGCTTTGTTGCTGCCCACCGGCTGGCAGGCAGGACGAGCCCCGAGCCCCGGCGGCAGCGCTCCCGCTGCGGGATGAACCGCGCTCCGCTCCCGCCCCGGCCCCGCCGCCGCGGCGTCTCCTGGCAACGGGCTCCCCTTCCGCTTCCGGGGCCAGCGGGGAGATGGCGGCGGCCGCTGAGGAAGGGGAGGCGACGGACTGGTAACAGCCCCCGTACCTTCCCCGGTGTCTGCACCTTCCCACGTGCCCTCCCCCTACCCGCTCCCCGCACCCCCGCTGTCCCGCACCCCCAGCCCGCCGGAGCCGGCTGACCCCCGCCTGGTCGGTTCCCGCAGGGCGCTGCCGCCGGAGGTGGAGGTGCTGGAGTCCATCTACCTGGAGGAGCTGCAGGTGACGCGGGGCCTGGGCAGGTACGGCCCGCCTTCCCCATCCCCGGCCCGCCTTCCCCATCCCCGGCCCGGCCCCGCGCCGCCCTGCTCACCCCGAGCTGCCCCTTGTGCAGGTGGGAGCCCTGGGAGATCAGCATCACCCTGCACCCTGCCACGGCCCAGGACCAGGACTCCCAGTACGTCCGCTTCACCCTGGTGCTCTCCGTGCCCCCTCAGGTAGGCTGCCCACGCCCCCCGCCCCTGCGCCTCCGAGCCTCGGGCCTCTCCACCTTCCTTGTGTGCTTTGGGTGTTTCTCTTTTTTCCTAGTATCCTGATAAAGCTCCGGAGATCTCCATCAGGAATCCGCGGGGGCTGTCAGATGAGCAGATTCAAAAGTGAGTGCCAGGAGGGTGGGGAGTGGCAGTTCCTCCAGAGATCTAGGAGGCAGAACTGATGGACAAGCTTTCTGTAATTCACATGACATCCCATGTCTGGTTAACAGATGGATACAGGTCCCCAAATCACTTTGTCCTAAATCTCTCAGGAGCCACTGGTGCCAAATTTGACACAGAGGGGTCCACCTTGTGGTTGTTCCTCTGTGGTTCCCCAGAAATGGTATTTGAATCCCTGGGGCCTTGAAAGTTGCTGGTCCTGCCTTGACAGAGGTGAGACTGTTCCAAGTCCTTGGGCAGCCCATTGATGCCTTTATGCTTCAGTCCTTGGCACAGTGGAATGTGTGCAGAGACCTTGGTGCCTGCCAGCAGTATGAGAGGATGCGGCTCCCAACAGACCTGCTCAGGGGCTGCTGTCAGATAAACAAAGCCTGGGATTCACCAAAACCAAAGGGTGCTGGCTGAGCTCAAGCTGAGGCCATCAGCAAACCTGCTCCTGCAAGTCCTGTCATAACAAAGGCTTCCTGTGCCCTGGCTTGTGGGGAGCCAGGACAGCATGTGAATATGTGTCTGCATGTGTGCCCATCCTGTGCTCCAAGCAAAGCCTGAAGGCCACTGTTCTCCTTTTTTCTCTTGTCATCATGGCAGGATGGCAGGTATGTGGGACAGTGAAAAGGTGTAGCTAAATTTGTGTTAAGGATTTCTGCTGTTTTGCTGTAGGATTTCCCAGACCCTCAGAAGTGTTGCTGAAGCCAGGCTGGGGACAGAGGTGCTCTATGAACTGATCGAGGTGAGAGTGAGGAGATTGGGTGTGACCAGCCACAGACACTGATCCCCAGCTGCCCTTGGGCAGGCCAGTGAGTAAAACGTTTTCTTTAATGCTTTCACAGAAGGGAAAGGAGATCCTCACTGACAACAATATTCCTCAAGGACAGTGTGTAATCTGCCTCTATGGATTCCAGGTAGGCATGTGTCTCCTGACCCCACAAACTGACTGGGAAGTGAGGCAAGAGAACAGGAAGTCTGACACTGGGATATCAGCCTGGGACCAAGATACACCCCAGCAGCCCCCTGCCTCCCAGTCTGCACAGGGCCCTTCCTAGTGCAATACATGCTGCTCTTCCCACCAACTTCTAGATAATCTTCTACAGAAAATGGGCATGGGGCATGCTGGAGCATCTCTAAAGAAGCATAGGTTCTGGGGCTAGTTGATGGTGCATTTCAGCTTCCCTGTGTTGGCTACACCTCACCTGGAGTCCAGCACACAGGTGGTGAGGAGGGACTAGAACATATCCATGCAGGTGCTGAGGTCTGTGGGGACAGGGGAGCAGGCCTTACTGGGGTTGCAAGGAAAGCCAACACCTGCCTAGGAAGGAGAACACACCAGGTGGGAAGATTGCTGGTCACACAGGAACACATGCAGAGAAATCAGTCATAGAATCTTTGCATATTAACATTGGGAATGTTTCTGACATTTGAAACAAGAAGCAGCATCCCAGTAATTGCTGAGGGAGTGGAGCTGCAGCCCAACAGATGATGTTGAGGGCTCTGCTAGCACTAGTTCCCCATGGATACCACTGACATGGAAGTGAAAACCCAGCTCAGCTGGGTGGTTACACAACTCTTTGCTTAGAAATCCTTCAAAGATGCACTTTTGTCTTGACAGGAGAAAGAAGCCTTCACAAAGACCCAGTGCTACCACTACTTCCACTCCCACTGTCTGGCCCGCTATGCCCAGCACATGGAGGAGGAGATCCTCATGCAGCAGGAGGAGAGGGAGCAGCACCTTGCACCATCCCCCAAACAGGTACTGGGCCTTCCTTGGCCCCCTGCACAGACCCTTGTAACATCTGTATCACCCTCTTTGGCACGTGGAGCCTGTGCTGAGAATCAACAGGGATTAGACTGAGTTATCTCCAAGGGCCCTTTCTGACCAAACAAGTTGGTTTATTGGATCTCTGGGTCAGTGCCTGCTGTGTAAGGGTAAGGGAGTTGCATTTTTAGATTTCTGGAACCACAGAAGTTAGAAAAAAGGGCTCCTTCCCTAATCCTAGTCCTTGAACTGGGGGGGGGTTGCAGCAGGGTAAACACAAATCACCTGTATTTTGGGGTGATAAAACCTGCCTAGCATGTGTTGGAACAGTTGCCAGCTGCAGAGCAAAATACATCCTAAGCTGAGGGCTGAAGCCATACATGTTGACAGAGGTGCTTTGTAAAGCAGTCAGCTGCTGAAGCACAAATCCCAGCATGCCTCACATGGAGACACCTTCCATAGCAGTTGTTGAGACACCGGGCTGCTTTCATGCTGCTGGAACCCCTCTGGCTTCCTTACCTTGGCAGAAGAGTGAAGAAGACGACCCTGTTCCACTTCCAGGGTGGGGTTATGGGGCAGTGCATGAGCTGGATCACAGACAGGGTTTGCTGTCCTCTCTTGCCTCCCCACAGGAGGTTGGTGTGCAGTGCCCTGTCTGCCGGGAGACCCTGGTCTATGATCTCTGTGCTCTGAAGGCAGCACCGCCCCCGCAGCACCCTCTGGTAAGAGATGGGGACTCACCTGCCCAGCTGGGCCTCCTCACTGGGCAGCCTCACCTGGGACATTGTAATGCATGCACACTCTGTCTCAGGTCCTCCTAGATGCCCTGTCCAAAGGGCAGCTCACAAGCAGGTTCAGTTTTATAGCCCTGAGCTGAGCAGATGTGCTGAGAGAGAGGTGATTCTGCCATGGGGAACATCCCTGCACTCACTGGGATACAGTCAGGTCAGGAGAGTGACCTGATGGTAGCTGCTCTGCATGCTGCCCCACAGCAGGATGGCCCAAGGCAGTCACTGCAGAAACAGTGGGTCTGCACTGGGATGGATGCTCAGCTTCTGTCCAGGGATTTCCCATGCATCTGTAGGCCTGGTCAGTGTGGCAGAAGGAAGTGGGTTGCCTGCCACTGTGCAAAGAAGGGTTTGGGGAGTCCCAGCCCTGCCATGCCTATCCATGCTAGGTGTTGAGAGAGCCCTTACCTTGCCTTGCTTTCTTCTGCTCAGGAGCCATACAGGCCAGATGCCAAGGTGCTGCAGCACCAGGAAGAACTGCGCCTGATTTTCAAGAGACAGCAAGAGAAAGGGGGAATCATCGACCCCGAGGCAGAGAGGAACCGATATTTCATCAGCCTCCAGGCGGTACGGCACTGCGGGCAGAGAGCTTCCAGGGGGCTCTGGGCTGCAGCACCAAGCACTGTCATCTGCTGTGGGACACCCCTGGCCTTGTCTTAACCAGTGACTTTTCTTTCAGCCTCCAGCTGCTGTGGATCCAGGCCAAGCAGCCGCTGTCTCCGAGCTGTCGGTGAGTGCCCGCGCTGCGGACGTGCCCCAGCCGCCCAGCCAAGCCTCAGCTCCCGAGCCAGCCGGGGCATCAGAGCCCAGGGTGGAACCCGGGCAGCCTGAGAGGTGTGCTGTGCCCAGAGAGCAGCTGAGCAAGAGGGAGAGGCACAGAGGGGAGAGGCCAGGCTCCAGAGGCCGGGGCAGGCAGCTGTGCAGTGGCTCGCAGGAAGCAGGAGAGGAAGCCTGTCATCCACTCCATGGCTCCAGAGGGCCCAGGGTCTTCAGCCAGAGGGCAGAGCGTAGACCTGCTGGACGGCACAGCCAGGAGTTTTCAAAGCCTCCCAGTAGAAGCAGGGCTGCTCCCTTGGCTGAAAGAAGGGAGTTGTGCCGTGAAGATCCCTCACCAGCAACAGAAACTGTGGACTTGAAAGAGGAGCACCGTGACGTGGAGAAATGGAGCACAGAGGAGGGGACTGAGGCCCGGGGCAGGAAAAAGGAGAACCTGATGTTCAACCGCAGTGACCACAAAGCTGCCCCCAACTGGCAGGGCCACCACAGGCCCTGGGATTGTGGAAGGTGGGAGAGGTCCAGAGTTCAGGAGCGTGGTTCCTACCCCAGAGCACCAAGAGGGCGAGGGGTGTTCAGGCCCAGTGGACATCGAGAAGCCCATCTTGAGAAGGAGAGTGGCTCCTAGCAGGAATGATGAGGGGCTGGGCTGGGGGAAAAAAGGGCTCATTCTGGAGAGAACAATGAAGCAGTAGGAAGCAGATACTGTATCCCCTGGAAGGGAGGAGGCAGATGGCACGTGGGACAGCCTGGGACAGGCAGTGTCGCCATGGTATGTGCAGTGTAAAGTATCCTAGCATGAGCAGCTGGCTGTTACCAGCATTGGAGAAGTGGAACCTTGACAGATCATATCAGCCTTGGTCTCAGAGGACCCAGAAGAGAGAGGTAGCTTTGGGGACCTGCAGCTATTGTCCCTATAGGTGAAATGCCAAGAAATGTGCAGACCTACAGAGCAAAGGTCTGAGCCCAGCATGGTGCCATGGCAGAGCCAAAGTGTGGCAAGACCTTCCCTGGAAGCCAGCGGAGCTGTGGTGGTGCCAAGTGCTGGGGCAGTATCTTGGAGCTCAGTTCCACTTGCTCTGTCCCCCATTCCTTCTCAGAGCACTTTCTCAACTGCTAGGATTGGCCAGGCAAATCCTTATTACACAGGACATTGCCCAGTCCCAGCCAGGACATCCAAATTAAGCTTAAGTCAGCACATTGGCAGGTCACAACTGTCTGGTGGCTAAGGCTTCACCTTGGCTCCTGCTTCTCCAGGAAGCCCATATTTAGCTGGAGCTCCTGCCCTGTCTTTCAGCCGCTTTTGTGCAGGCTGAAGCTGATGGGGGAACCTCAGAAGAGAGTACTCTGCTTTGTAACCTGTATGTGTCAGAAGCCCCCTCCAAGGCCAGGCTGTCTCTTAGCACTTCTGACAACCCAGAAGTGAAGACATGCCCCAGTATTTTGGGTACAGCTTGCCCTCCTGTAATCTTCAAGCTGATATTGCTTAAATAAGGATTTGCTGTTTAAAACTTGGCGCAGTTCCATCTGCTGCTGCTCCACAGATGTAAATGGTGTCCCATTTAGAAGCCATGAAGAGTGGTCCCAAGCCTCTGAAGTGAGGCAATGCTATTAAATTAATTCATTGGGTCTTCTCCAGAGCCTGCTCCCTTTGTTTCCTCTGCCCTCTTGCTCCTGTTTGTTGCTTTTTGGAGCAAAGGTGTTGATCCCTGATATTTCTCAAATCCTTCCCTGTTCCCTACAACCAGGGCTGAGGCAGACCTTTCCCTGGCACGTCTGGGTGGCAGGAGGGCTCCCTGCTTTGCCTGGCTTACTGTAAGCTCTCTGCCTCACCTGGACAATACTGATTTCTTCACACTTGTTTGTGCCTTGTCCCCCACCTCTTGTACCCACACATGGGTTGTTAATTGTCTTCCTCCTTCTGCTAAGTGCAAAAATAGCAGTGCTACAATGGACTTGCCAGAACTTCATATGAGATCCCCAGGAAACCAACAGCAGTGTGTGCCAAGAGGGCATTTGCCAGTGCACACATCTGTCTGGCTGAGCTTTGGCACTGAAAGCTGCACTACCCCCTTTCTTGACTGAGAACTCCTCATCTGCTGCCCTGCTTACTCCATGCCTGGTCTTGACCTGAAGGGGTTGGTTTAACCTGCTGCCCTAAACCTTCTGTGCTTAAATTTCCAACACTGGTCTATTTTCAAGCCTAATGCTTTAAAATCATTCTTTTTTTCTCCCTCCTTGGCCTGAGCCTACACTGCCTGTCCTGGGCTGGCTGATCTGAGAGACAGATGTTGTGCCTTCCTGCAGATGAGGGCTGAGCACTCATGCCTTGAAGAAAACCCTAATTTTCCTTCAGTGCTCCCTCTGTCCTTGTTCAGCTGGTTTCAGAGGGAATGGCCTGCCCACACTTGGGTGAGAAGGTGCAAACTTTACCTGACATTGGTGCTGGTTCTGCTGCCTTGTGCCTTCTCTGGTGAAACTGTTGTGTTCCAAGAAAGGCATTTGATTGTGTCCTGAAAGAAACATGGAAGATCTCTGCCCCTCACAGCAGCTGAAGCTCCTTGGCTTCCTCTGGTGAGCCAGGATTACTCTCAGCAGAAACGTTGCTGTGCCGTGTTTGGAGCATGGGAATTCGGCCATGGAAATCAGAGTGAGGACTTGGATAACTTCAATCAAATGCCAGATGTGTTAGTGGGAAGGGATTTTTCCCTGGGAATAGTGCTTTAGTAAGGGCCCTCTCTGACGCACTGCTGTCAGCCTGGAGCAGAGGGCACTTTGCAACAGTATGTGGAAATGAATTTGGGATAAACAAACCAAACCTCCAGGTCAGAGGGGAGGAAGAGAGCTTGCACGTTGACCTGGGTCCCCTTGCTTGGTGTCCATCTGTGTCACCCACCTACCTCACAAGGCTGTTGTGAGGCTTAACTGGCAAAAGCCCTCAGGCCAGGCAGAAGGCACTGGCAGCATCTGTAGCATTAACACTATTAAAAGCAAGCAGCAAGAGATGTTGCGTGTGATGGCATCGGGTCCCTCTGGCTCCCCCACAAACACTCCCCATCCTCCCAGACTGCTGTAGGACTTTTGCCAGTCACTCACTGACCAGTTCTGACCCCCAGCTTTGAGGGAAGAGGCTGGATCTGAGCAGCCAGCCTCTGGAGGATGGTCAAACTCAGGGTTTGAGATGCCAGCCAGCAGCATCCTGCTCCTTCACTTGCAGAAACATTTGTGGAAGTCTGGGGTTGCATTAAAGCAGTGCCTATTTGCACCAAAATCCATCCAGGTGCCAACTGACTGTGCACCTGTGTATTGCCCTGTACTCTTGGTCCCACAGGGCAGAGGCAAGAGGAGGGCTAAGCAGTGACCTACAATTTGGGTTTGGCTTGGAATCCACTCCCCCAGCGCAAGCAACCCCCAGAACTGACCACATTAACATAGGACTGGCTCTGAGGAAACTACTTTCAGGATTGTGTAAAAGGCACTGGAAGGGGAGAGCTCTTGGGAAGATATGCTGTAACTGGCCAAGGCCTCTCATCTGCCCTCATACACCTCCAGGGCCCCACATCTCCTTTGGTGGGAAGGACAGTCATGCCCATCTAGAACAATATCCAGGCAGATCTGTGGCTTGGCATCATAACTCAGCAGGACCAGTGGCACCAGCCTGGAGTCTGAGGGAGAATGAGTTGTCTCTTAAGAGCTGCTTTTTTTCAGAAATACTCTGGATTTGCAGTACTGGCCTTTCCAGGCCCTGGTCAGGACTAGCAGCTGGATAAAGGGACAACTAACAGGAAAATGAACCAGAGAGACAAGTTGTGTTGTGCACTTCACAGAGGATATTCACAGACCAGTGAGACCACTGTCCTTTAAAAAAACCGGACACTTTTAGCAGTGTAGAACCCCAATGTTCTGCCCAAAGGAAATGCCCTTCTGGGGCACCTCCAGGCTGACCCACAAGGAAGGGGATTCACACCAGGAGCCTTGGTAGCTTATAGGAATCCCAACATGAGGCACACACTGGTGAGCAGGGCTGCTGCAGTAGCACCCAAGTCTGGGGAGCAGCAAGAGGCAGATTCCCTCCCTTGCAGTGAGGCTGGCAGCTCTGACTCTCCCAAACCAAGGCATAGGAGAGGTAGAGGTGAACAGAGACCTGGCCTGTGCAGGTGGGCGGCTTCATGGCATGATCGTCAAATCTTTGTCCAGTCATCTCAGTGTCACAAGGGAAAGCTGCCCCTGATCACAGCAGGCTGGAGCTTATGTTTGAAATGGCTCCTTCAGGGTCTGTCTTGTAAAGCATGAAGTGGCCTTGCACCTGGGCAGCGCTGATCTGTTTGGAGACTGCCAGCGCCTGCTCTGCGAAGCGCTGGGCTGCAGCCGCGGGCTGCTCGGGGTAGAAGCGCTGGAACATGCGGGTGAGCTGCCAGCGGGAGCAATGGCCCACGTACTGCTTCACATCCACGCGGCCAGGACGCACCAGGGCTGGGTCCAGCCTGCCAAGAGACAAGGGGTGGTGCTGGAAAACCTGATCAAAGCATCTGTTTAGGGTGGGCCCTGGTGGAAGCCCCTATCGACAACAGCACAGCCCCTGTCCTTTCTGCAAAGTGCCATGCACTGTGAGATGGTGAAGGGGGAAAACAGGTTCATCCCTGGGGAAATTGAGGGGAGAAATCAACCCAAAAAGAAAGGAGAGATCTGGGGAAGGACTGACTGCAAAGGATGACAAGAAAGCAGCTTTGGTCCTGGGAAACAGTTCTCCCCATCTCTGTTCCATGAGCGACCTCTGAACAAACCCCTGGACCAGCTTGGTCTGTAGTGAATCAAGCCTGCCACAGCACAGCAGCTGTCCAGGCACCATGAGCCCAGGCTGTATCCCACCAACCCAGTGGGCTGCACATCGGACCAGCGTTTCACTCACAGTATGGACACAACCCCAAAACTTGCAGCTCCCCACAGGCAGGAAGGTGGTACCACTCCTGAAGGACACAACCATGTTCTAAACACCAAGTAGGCATCTGAGGCTCCAGCAAAAGGGAGCCTGATCAGCACAAGATTTGCATCCCAAGGGAGGATGTGGGAAATCTGAATCCCCACTCTTCATGCTGGAGGATTCAATAAATAAAGCCCAGGAAAAGGGAGCAAGGTTTTCCTGTGCTACCCACCCCACTCCCTCCCGGGGGCAGTCTGACCTGTCCACGTAGTTGGTGGTCATGAAGACAATCCTGGCTTCTGTGGAGGCCACACCGTCCAGCGCATTGAGGAGACCGCTGAAGGTCAGGCGCCCCATGCCTTGGTACACAGCTGGGTCTGGGAACAAAGGTGTCTGACATTGTAGCTGTTGGCCACTAACCCTGCACAGCCTGAGGGCCACCTTCCTACCACCTGAGGCTTGTGCCAAGCTCCCTACTCGCTCCTTGCTTGGAGGCTGACCCTCTGGCTGGCTGGCAGCACATTCACCTCCCCTGCCCACAAACACCCATGGGAACACAAAGAAAAAGAGAAGGAAAGCCACCTTCTCCCTCATCCTGCAAGGAGCTGGGGAAGAGAAGGACCTTTGCCTGAGGATAAAGGATCCAAATTCCCTTTTACAGCCTAGCCAAAACTGGACAAGTTCCAGTTTGAGCCCTGAGAGACTCCCCCACTCCTGGTTTCTGCTGGAGCAGTTGAGCAGCCCAGAGTCCAAACATTTTTCAGTACAGCCACAGAACCTCCCTCCTGCTGCTGGCCCAGGAACAGGGGCAGTGCTCACTCTCAGCAGCAAGGTCCCGGCTGACGAAGGCAGCATCCACATCCTCCAGCAGGATGATGCTCTGCTGTGGTGCTACACTCAGGAGGTGATTGAGCCGGTCATCAGAGAGGCTGTGGTCACTGAGGCTCAGCAGGCAGATACTGTACTCCAGTTCCCCAGCCAGGGCTGTGCTGCAAAGGACACAAACCACAAGGATGAATCACAGTGGGGAAGCCCACAGTCAAGGAAAAATCACATTTCTCCCCTTAGCAATAAGGGAGAGGGCAGAGGAGTCTCTTCCCAGCAAGGATCAGATCTAAGGAGCGGGCAGAAGCCCCTGTTCAGCCTACCCATACCATGCAGCACTGTGGAAAGCAAGGGCACAAAGGGCTTGTCACCCTCACCTGTCACAGTGCCAGCAATGCAAATGCTTACAGTCGGCACCACACATAAGGCACAGCCCACTCCAGTATTCCAAACCCAAACTCATCCACACTCTCATCCAAGACTGCTGTGGCTCAGAGCAGGGCGCTGACAATACTCACATGAAGCTGCTTTTCCCACATCCAGGAGGACCATAAAGCAGGTAGCCTCTTCGATAGGGGATCCCTAAGAAAACAGTGTTCTTTTAGGGTAACCACCTGGATTGCTCTGTGCTCCCTCCCTCCCTCCAAGCTGTGGTGCTGTGCTGAGCACACAAAGAGGATACACCTGGGGATTGTAAGCAGCAGGGAAAAATCTCTCCACAGCCAATTCCAGAGAGGACCATGAACATCCTGCCCCACCCCATACAGAGCACACCACACCAGAGCCTTGCCTCTTTCATGGTACCACTTGGAGTTGTTGATGAACTCCTTCACGTCCTGAACCAGCCTCTCTGACACGCCTTCCTCCAGCACCACGGAGCTGAGGGGCCGGCGGCGGCGGGGGAAGCCGAACTGGCGCCACTCTGCTCCCATGGCTGTGTACATGATGGTCTTCCCCTCCTGCTGCTGCAGCGCCAGCTCCCGGGCTGCAGAGAGAGGCACAGGGGACAGCTGCCAGGGAACAGCATCTCCCATGCAGCCCTGGGCATCTCCAGGGAGCAGGCTGTTCCCAGCAGGACTGCACACAGTTCCCCTACAGACCTTCCTGAAGGATGTTGAAGAAGATCTCGCGGTCGGTGCCCAGTGCAGTGAAGGTGACGGACTCCCAGGGGGTCCCTGTGTTCAGGTCCAGCATCTGCGTCTCCCGGCTGCGCTCGATGCGAATCCACTTCCTGCGGTACCTGGGGCAGGGAGACAGGTGTGTACAGTGATCCAGCACCCTCAGCTGCACCTCACCTGGCTCATGCATCAAGAACACTCATCCTATGTAAGGAAATAATTTCACACTGCTGAGTACAGGCTGCTCTTGCTACTCTTCATCCCCTGCCCTAACCCAGACCCAGAGAGGAAGAAGAACCCTCTCCACTGTCTCTACAGGCCCCCCAACTTGCAAAAGTCTCAAGAGGCTGAATCCCCAAACTGCTTTCCCCTACCGTCCCTTACCAGATGAAATGATTCCCGAGGCTGGGGATAAAGTCGA